ACGTCCCTGCTCGTGAAGACTTTCGCAGGGAAATTCTAGCAGACACCACCCAATTAAAAGGGGGCTAGTTTTGCCCCTGGTATCACCATTCAACAGTTTCAACCAAAGTTATTCAACTTAAAAATGCAGTACAGTCAGATCTGTGCATCTGCTCACAGGAGGCCTCTTTTTATTATACAAACAGTTTATTTAGGTTTTTAATGTTGTGATTCCGACCTTTTCCGACATATTCCGAAAATCGGTTTGTTATGCGCAGAACGGATGCGCAGCGGGTGACACTGCCGCTTTAAGGCGCGCGTTGCATTTCGGGATGACCTCATTCCTTGCAGGCTTGCCGCAAACACAGAGTCAGAGGAGGAGTGAGGACTATACCGGCATGCAACGCGGTCAGGCGCGGTTTTTTACATATTATCGATTTCTCGCCACTATGCATGGAAAGAAAGCTTCGTTTTGGGGTGAACACGAGCTTCTGTGTGTTCTGAGGTGTGTTCACTGTGTGTCAAAACAGCCTTTAATCTTAAATTACCTGCACTGGTACAAATTCACTCTAGTTGTGTTTTTAAGGTGAGATGATTTTTATATAAAAATAGAAATATAAAAATGCTCCTATGTTGTATAAATACAGCAGTATTAAACGTATTTTTATTTCATAATATTATGTAGTTCTTCGACCCTAATGATCTACGGGAAGGAGGTATAAACAAAGAATATAACAATGTTATGTTGTTGGGAGTTTGACATTTCAACATCACCGACATCCCAAGCAATCCCACCATGTGACCCAGATAGTCAAGATGATGAGCTGGATAGTGTACTTCCACCAATAGAATTACATCAGCCAACTGATTGTAACTGTTTTAATTTACCGATAAATCCTGTTTGCCCTGACAGACATTCATACACACTGAATGATGGAAGAAGCACCCAGTGGTAGCATTGTTGTAAAGAATGAAATGGAGTAAATTCAACACTATCGCAATGTGTGATGCATTGCAAGGATTTATACTGATCAACCAGTTATCTATGCTCAAATGATCAACCAGTTGTCTATTATTTTACTCTGCCTAATGCCAGATTATTTTACTGTCTAACACTAGACTATTTACTCATCAGGGGGAGAGTACTGACACTCAAATACTCAATGGGTTAAAAAACATTGAAACAAAATGTTTAGCAGAAGCTGCAAAATTGTATATTGGTGTCTGGTAAGAGGTATAAAATAGAAGGAACATAACTCCTATGCAGACTTGCAGAAATTCTGTTTGAAGTCAATCTTAAAACAATTGCCCAATTTTTAAAGCAGAAACCTGCCCAACTGAACACTGACTGGAGGGTTGCAACCCCCAGCCTCGTACGCCTATGGACAGAAATTCTCGCAGGCAAAAAAGCATTACCCAGCACTCTCCACTTGAGCTAAAGTAGGGTGCATCAGGGCGTATTGCCACTTAAAATACAATGTTTTTGTACAGTCGTACTGTATTTTATGTTTGTAAAAACCTTTGTACTTTTATACCTTTGGTGATGTTCCAGGACTCTGAAACAAAGTTCGACTTGATGTTGAATTCTTCAAACGTGAAATTTTGTGTCTCTTATTATTAATAGGTTTCCCTGGGGTATCACCTTTAATAGACGTATATACCCTCGTGTATACTCGCTTTTAATATGGCAGTATCATTTCATTCGTCACTAACAATGACAACATCAGTAAATCACTACTATCTGCATGATTCCATGTCCGAATTCTATAACAAAATGACAAAAATACAGTCAATACAGTAAACTAACATTCTGACCTTAATTGTAAAGGTAACATTACACTCAAAATATGTAACAACTACATGCGTATGTTTCAAAGATATAGAAAATAGTTTCCTTCGCGCCATAAGGATCAACAACCGGTCTATTCCCGCCATCGGCATTAAAATATAGCAAAAATACCCCATTTTCAAACCGCGATTGCTTGTCGATTTGGAGGAGCGATCTAGCGTTTTAAAGAACATGGAATGTCGAATAAGGATATCACTGACCTGATCAACACTGCACTTCTCGAACCTATGCAAATATACCAACCACTTGATTGTCTTCCTCCCATAGATGAAAATTCTGAGGTACTAAAGCTTGATGCTTATTCAGTCTATTCAGCATTACTAACGTTGAACCCTCGCAAAGCATCGGGGCCAGACGAGGTGCCAAACTGGCTGCTTAAAGACTATGCCGACTTCCTTGTAAACCCCATTTGTGATATCCTGAACAGCTCCTTCGAAGAACAAGCGCTTCCGGCATCCTGGAAATACGCTAATGTCACACCACTGCCAAAAACGAAACCAGTTACCATAATCGCCAAACATATTAGACCCATTTCACTAACTCCGACTTTATCTAAGTTAGCTGAGGACTTTGTCGTAAGAAATTACGTTGGCCCTGCCATTCTTGAGATCATCGATCCTAATCAATTTGGTGCCGTACCGAAATCATCAACTACGCAGGCTCTTATTTCCATGATGCACACGTGGGCTTCTGCCACTGATGGAACAGGTGCAGCAGTGAGGATCGTGTTACTAGATTACAGAAAAGCTTTTGATCTAATCAACCATCCCATTCTAGTTGACAAGATCCTTTCTCTTCGAATGCCGCGTGGTGTAGCTCGCTGGGTGTGTGACTTTTTGTTGAACAGGTTCCAACGTGTCAAACGATTGTTTCTCGGAATGGGGTGCAGTTCCATCTGGTGTTCCACAAGGTACAAAACTGGGCCCCTGGCTGTTCCTACTAATGATAAATGACCTCAACCCACCTGATGCGCAATCTTGGAAATATGTGGATGACACCACCTTGGCTGAGGTTGTCCCACGGAATGGTCAAACCAATATTCAGAACGCCGTAACTGAAGTTGAAAAATGGTCTAACATCAACAAGCTTCAGCTGAATGCTGACAAGTGCAAGGAAATGGTCATTGATTTCAAGAAAGTGAAGCATCAGTTCGATACCATCACCGTGAACTGCAAAGAACTCGAGCTAGTGAGCAGTGCCAAAGTACTAGGTGTTACCATATCCAACTCCCTACAATGGGTGGATCATATAAATAATGTTATAAAGAAGGCAAATAAACGCTTGTATTTCCTGGTTTTGCTCAAGCGCGCTGACGTCCCTGCTCGTGATATCATCAACTTCTACAACACTTGCATCAGACCCGTACTTGAGTATTGTGCTCCCGTGTTTCATCATGCTCTCCCAGGATATTTGTGTGACGATCTTGAACGCATTCAAAAGCGTGCGTTATCGATTATATCTCCGGGACTATCCTATATTGACAATCTCACTGTACACGATATCAGTACTTTAAAAGACAGGCGCCAGAAACTTTGTAAGAAACTTTTCCAAACAGTTGTGTCCGATGCTGATCACAAGCTTTACCATCTTCTGCCGCCCTCAAAGACATCAGCCTATAACCTAAGAAGACTGCGTCGTTTTGACTGTCCTGCTACACGAACAAATCGTTTTAGTAATTCTTTTATTCTGTCAATGTCAAAAGAGTAGTTTATAAACGATACCATGCAGTGGGGATCAGATTTGACTTCCCCTACCACTTCCGCTGCCTATCGCTGATTTGTTATGCATGTGATTAGTTAATTTAGTAGTCTGAATGTTTCTGATTAGTTCCTAGTCCTTTTCGGTAGCAGTGGTGGTGGTGGAGGTCGGATCTGAACTTCGCTACCAACGTTTTACAAGTACATATTTATTGATATGTGTATGTTTGTATGTATGTATGTGAGATGTACATATTATTTTTGTAAATTTTACGCAATTCAGCTTTTGTAGGCTGCTATGTAAAATCATAATAAACTATCTATCTATCTATCTATCTATCTATCTATCTATCTATCTATCTATCTATCTATCTATCTATCTATCGCGGTTGGTCAGTGGTAATTGCCATGAGCCAGAGGAACCAATTGGCGTCAGCCACTGAGCTATACCACACGGGCGTGGAAACGGCAATGACGCCCCTGATCAGGGCGCTTATATATAAGCGCCCTGCCCCTGATCTATGTGTGATGCGCGGACCCCCCGTAGGTTTTCGAATATTGGAAATTCTCATTCGAATATCAACATTTGAAAAGAAAGACACGGCAAGAGTTAAAATAAGAAACATGGTCATGGCCTAGTTGAAACTCATTTGCAAATGAACACCAAAACGATTTACCTCTGGGATGAACTATATGGAATGAGAGGTTTATGTACTTAAAGTTTATGCTACAGTCAAGAGGGAATATTGTAAAGAAAATGTGGTTTGTCTAGAACAGCCTGAAAAGGTCAGTGCACTTTTAAAGACATAAAGTGGTTGAAACGGATGTTTTTTCTAAAGATACGGTTTTCCCTACGAGTCTATAGCTTGGGACTATCTTTTAACGTCATAGAGAACTGAAAAAAATACAAGTCGAAATATTTTTTCCGCGCTTCGTGTTTCATGAGTAAAACTGGCTGACAGTACCTTCGTCGTTTCATGTGAGACCAGGTCAAAAATAGGTGAAAAAATCATGTTTTAACAAAAAAGCCGGTTTTAAATCGCTTTGACAACAACTGTGCAAATTTTTAGGCAAAGTTTTTCATCTAGGAAAAAAGATACAAATAATTTTTTTTTCCGCGGTTTGAGTTTCATGACCAAACATGTCTACATTGACCTTGTTTTTTTGAGTGAGACCATGGCCAATCAAGCCAAAAAGTTGTGTTTTAACAAATGAAAGCCGGTCTTCTTTATAATAAAAATGGATTTTCAATAACTTTATTAATAACTGTGCAAAATTTTAGGCAAAGTTTTTCACCTAGGAAAAAAAGATAGAAGTCGAAACATTTTTTCCGCGCTTCGTGTTTCACGAGTAAAAATGGCTGACAGTACCTTCGTCGTTTCATGTGAGACCAGGTCAAAACTAGGTGAAAAAATCATGTTTTAACAAAAAAGCCGGTCTTCTTTTTAAGAAAAATCGATTTTAAATCGCTTTGACAACAACTGTGCAAATTTTTAGGCAAAGTTTTTCATCTAGGAAAAAAGATACAAATATTTTTTTTTCCGCGGTTTGAGTTTCATGACCAAACATGTCTACATTGACCTTGTTTTTTTGAGTGAGACCATGGCCAATCAAGCCAAAAAGTTGTGTTTTAACAAATGAAAGCCGGTCTTCTTTATAATAAAAATGGATTTTCAATAACTTTATTAATAACTGTGCAAAATTTTAGGCAAAGTTTTTCACCTAGGAAAAAAAGATAGAAGTCGAAACATTTTTTCCGCGCTTCGTGTTTCACGAGTAAAAATGGCTGACAGTACCTTCGTCGTTTCATGTGAGACCAGGTCAAAACTAGGTGAAAAAATCATGTTTTAACAAAAAAGCCGGTCTTCTTTT